AGCCTTTATGGCTTTTTACAGGCCCAACCTTATTCCTTCCGAAATAATCGTGCAGAGAAAAATGCAGGATGCTATCAAGCACAAGGCATCCAAATCACTCCTGATCAACGGATCACATGACCTATCTGGAAAGTGATGAAGTTCAAAGCTTCAAAAAATACTCTGGTATAATTCAATACTGGTGGCCAGAACTGGTCTGGGGAAAATAAGGCTATTTATTTGACTTTCGTCAAACATATACCGTATTTTTCACTCCATAAGACACACTATTTTCCTCCTAAAAAGTAAGGGGAAATGTCTGTGCGTCTTATGGAGCGAATGCGTGGTCCCTGGAGCCAAATTGCCCAGGGGCGAAAAGCAGATCATGCTCTTTTTTCTTTTTTTTTTAGAAAGAGGGAAGGGAGTGTTGAAACAAAGCCAATGAGCAGCTGATCGGGTAAAGGCCCATGGATCCTCAGGGGTTTTGCATTGGGTCACCCCAAATTCATCACCAGATCACATAGCATTTCCATGGCTATAGCCTGCACCAAAAGATCATGCATCCACTGTTTCGTGGGGCCACAATGGTGCAAAAACGTGGTTACAAAGCACAGATCCACATGGATCCTCAGGATTTTTGCATTGGGCTACCCCAAACTCACCGTTAAATCACATGTCTGTGGCCACAGCATGAACCACAAAAAAATCATACATCCACTTCTTTCAGAATATTTTTTTTCTTGTTTTCCTCCTCTAAAAACTAGGTGCATCTTATGGCCAGCTGCGTCTTACGGAGCGAAAAATGCGGTATTTGTAAATGGACACAGAGTGCTTATCATAGCTTTTTGGGGGGAGGGAAAGGAGGAGAGCCCCCCATTTTAATGGTTCCTCACCCCCTCGAAGAGCATCTTCCTGCCGTGCCTGCAACATTTCATCAGCTTGAAGATTCTTCCTAAAGTGCAAGGATTCATTAAAGTCATCTGAAAGCAATTTTCAATTATCAAAATACTATTTAAGGACTGGAGCGGGGAGGGGGAGAGAAGTCTTTGATGATGACAAAAGTCAGGAGTGATTGACACACTCTTGCTTGTCATTTGGAATCAATTTCACACTTCGGGGACGGGGGAGAGGGGGTGGGGAGAGGAGGATATAACTCTGCAAGGAAGGAGATCATCCGCTGTCAGCAGGTGACAAGAGGCAGGAGGTGCGAGGAAGGGGATGAAAGCAAATTTGGCTTCCATGGAAAAATATATATGCAAGGAGCATGCAACTCTTCTGACATGGCACAATTTAACCACTGTGAAAATGCAAGCAGTGCACACCTGAACTGGACTGGGACCCCCTGGAGGATGCAAAACACCTGCCCTGGCACAACAAATTATCCTCTTTGGGGAGGAATCCTCTGCTGGAAGCAGGGCTGTCATTGTTCCTGTTGAGCTTCTTTTAATAGCACTTTCCTGTGCTGTTTAGGACAGTGGGGAGGAACGAATGGCTCTCAAGAGGAATCTTTCCTGTATTAGGTTTGTCTGCAATCAGGGTGGGAACAAGGGTGGAAAACCTGTGGCCCTCCAGATGTTGCTCAACTCCAAACCCCACTTCTACAGAAGTTCTGGATCGGGTGGCGCTGTGGTCTAAACCACTGAGCCTCTTTGGCTTGCTGATCGGAAGGTTGACGGTTCGAATCCCCACGATGGGTGAGCTCCCGCTGCTCTGTCCCTGCTCCTGCCAACCTAGCAGTTTGAAAGCACGCCAGTGCAAGTAGATAAATAGGTACCACTGTAGAGGGAAGGTAAACAGTGTTTCTGTGTGCTCTGGCTTCCGTCACAGTGTTCTGTTGCGCCAGAAATGGTCTAGTCATGACCGGGAAAGTTGTCTGTGGACAGTTAAGTCCAGTCGAAGGTAGCTATGGGGTTGTGGCTCTCATCTCGCCTTCAGGCCGAGGGAGCTGGTGTTTGTCCACAGACAAACCAGAGGGCGTGGAAACGCTGGGGCAGAGCAACGGGAGCTCATCCCGTCGTGGGGATTTGAACTGCCAGCCTTCTGATCAGCAGGCCCAAGAGGCTCAGTGGTTTAGACCACAGCGCCACCCAATAACACCCACCCAAATATATATGATGGTGCAGTAAAGCCCGGAGTTCAGCTGCATAGCTAGCTGCTTCAGTGCCTGGGGTGGCACACGCGCCCTGTGCATAGCTGTCAACCTTCCCTTTTTTTGCAGGAAATTCCCTTATTTCAGTGCCGTTTCCCGCTGCTTCCCGTTGTATCCCAGATTGTTAGATATCCCGTAGACTGTCGCCGGGACAGGTGAGGCTGCTGATCCCTTATTTTCAAATCCGAAAGTTGACAACTACAGTGGTACCTCGGGTTACATACGCTTCAGGTTACAGGCTCCGCTAACCCAGAAATAGTACCTTGGGTTAAGAACTTTGCTTCAGGATGAGAACAGAAATCGTGTTCCGGCGGCACGGCGGCAGCAGGAGGCCCCATTAGCTAAAGTGGTGCTTCAGGTTAAGAACAGTTTCAGGTTAAGAACGGACCCCCAGAACGAATTAAGTACTTAACCTGAGGTACCACTGTATGCTGCTGATCCCTTATTTTCGAATCCGAAAGTTGACAGCTATGGCGCTGTGGGGGTGGGGCGAGGTGCCTTCAGGGCACACCAGAATCCCAGTGCCTTAGCGCCGTTCCACTCTGGTGCCCTGCAGCCCCACATTGCTTTTTCAGGCAGTGGGGAGCCTGTAGGCCTCCGAGCCACCACATCACCCCCAGGAGAGACGCATGGCTCAGGCACAGTAAGTTCCATCCCCCGCAGTGTGGCTCCCAGTGCCCCCTGCTGCCCCTATGCCTCTGCAGGAGATATTTTTAGAGATGCTTTCTTGGTGGTTGTGGGTTAAACATCTAAAGTGGAGCATTTTAGCAGATAATGGGAGGGAGGGAGGGGAAACCCACCCAGCATTGCTGATACCCAAATGGCGTTTGCTAATGATAGCAGCGACTTTGAAGAAGTAATGAGGCATATATAGAAACATTTGGCACCCAGAAAATCAGAGCAAAATGTATTACTTTTTAGTGTCCCGAGAAAAGGCAACAAATGCATGCATATGGTAAGAGATGGGGAAACATTTGCTTTTAACAGGAAGGACAGACTTTATTTTAAGCAGCCATAAAGAAGCACGGTGGAAAGCAAACACATCCATCTCCCGTTCTCCTCGCAGTCTTTATTCTCAAGGGACTGCAGCAGTGCAGTTACTGAGTTATGGACTGAGCTACTTAAGCTGGCTGTGAGTGCGGATCAATGCACAAAGTGGGCGTTTGTCTGCCCCAAGTGAGTCCAGGTCCTTGACAATCTGGAAAGGGCACAATGGTACCCATGGAACATTGGGCAGCACCCCTGATTTACATAAGACTGGACTTGGTTGGACCATTAGTCTGATCTAGTATTAGGTGGCTGCCTTTTTAGCCATACAGAGGACCAGTATACAGTCATACCTTGGGTTACAGACGCTTCAGGTTGTGCGTTCTTGGGTTATGGATGCATCGAAACCTGGAAGTACCAGAATGGGTTACTTCCAGGTTTTGGTGCTTGTGCATGTGCAGAAGCACTAAATCAAGCTTTGCGCATGAGCGGAAGTGCCGAATCGCAACCCGCACATGCACAGATGTGGCTCTGCGGATTGCGGACGCTGCAGGTTGCGAATGTGCCTCCCGCACAGATCATGTTCGCAACCTGAGAGTCCACTGTATAGAATTATCTCTTTTGCTCACACCTAAGCAATCTGTGGAGCTAAGAGGAAGAACACTGGGTCACACCTAATTCTAGGCCAGGCTAATGGTCCATCTAGGCCAGGCACCCCCAAACTTGGCCCTCAAGATGTTTTGGGACTACAATTCCCTGACCACTGGTCCTGTTAGCTTGGGATGATGGGAGTTGTAGTCCCAAAACATCTGGAGGGCCGAGTTTGGCCATGCCTGATCTAGGCTCTCCCGGGTCCCAGTCAAGTTAATGATGTAAAAGATTGGACCTGGGACCTTTTGTCCTTGAAAATCTACTCAATATTGATCCAGAGCACATTCCAATGTATAGTTAGCAGAGTAAAAACTAAAACATGTTGCAGGATTCCAAAAAAATTAAAAAATAGACCAGAGGCATTTCATGCAGCAGAGCTTTACTGCTCCTGAAGGCAAATGAGCATAAAGGTCACAAATCCAAGACATTCAAGGATTGGCATTGTCCATAAGAAATCCAGTTCCAGCAGACTTAGGTTTAACTTGCAATAACTTATAATAAGACTAAACCTTAACAGAACACCACACCAGAAGGAACGAGATAGAAAGAGTGAGTGATAGCTAAGCTCCTTCTGGCCTCACTATTATACTGTGGTACCTTGGGTTACATACACTTCAGGTTACATATGCTTCAGGTTACACACTCTGCTAACCCAGAAATAGTGCTTCAGGATAAGAACTTTGCTTCAGGATAAGAACAGAAATCGGGCTCCGGCAGCGCGGTGGCAGCAGGAGGCCCCATTAGCTAAAGTGGTGCTTCAGGTTAAGAACAGTTTCAGGTTAAGAACAGACCTCCAGAACGAATTAAGTACTTAACTTGAGGTATCACTGTAGTCAGCATGACCTTGACAAAAAGAGATAACTGAACCAGTTTAAACCAGCTGTACTCAGCTTCTCAGAAGGAATAACCCAAATATCCTTCTGCTTGCTTCTTTCACACTGAGAAGCTTCCAGAACCCTCCTGAACTAATAGGAAAGATCTCTACACTTCAGATCAATACTTTCTGTACTAAGAAATGCTAACTGACACCTTTTGCATGATGGAGGTTGTTCATGAGGGCAAATGGTGCATTGTTCCACCAACCCCAGTCTGCCGTAGACCAGGCTAGTTAAGGGAGCTGCAAATGTATTTTTCCTGGAATCAAATAACATGGAAGTGATTGCTAAACATGCACTATATTCCATTAGTTTTCCAGAAGTGGCTTTTACACCATGTGAAAGCTCAAGTGTGTAAGGATAGCTCAGTTGCTTAGAGCGTGGTGCTGATAACACCAAGGTTGCAGGTTTGATGGGACAGCTGCATTTTCCTGCATTTCAGAGGGTTGGACTGGATGATCCTCAGGGTCCCTTCCAACGCTACAATTCTATGAATGTGGAAATTAACAGTTAGGGAAATGTTGGGAAAGCGTGTTCTCATTAAAAGAGAGTGCATGTTGCGGATGGGGCCAAGCAAGACACCCTGTAGTTGCCAGGCAGGATAGGATAGAGAGGCCTGGCAAGGACTGGTTGTTGGTGTTGCTGGGGTAAAATTGATGTTGCCAATTTGGGGGTGGGAACAGAGATTATTTAAACAGTGCTTACAGCGATCTGCTTTCTCTTTCGCTGAGGGGACCGGATCACCCACCCACCCTCCCTTGTTTTGGGCTTGTGCTTTGACCTTGCTATGCTTGTCATGGGGTCGTCTGCTTTGGGGCAGTGGCCCGGTAGGAATTTTGCCATCTGGCTGATTAGTGGGTGCCATTTGGTTTTTTGCCTACTGTGTAGCAAATCGTCACAACTTGTAAGGTTGGCGGTTAGGCATTGGTTAAAATTGGTTGGAGGAGGGGTATGGATTGGCTGTGCCTGCCCCTCCAATGCTGCTGCTGCAAGAGAATTCCATTAAAGGAATTCAGGGGCTTACCATCCTTTCGTCCAAACCCCTGGAATCGGGTTTGGGCCGCGTAAGCCCCTGGGAGCAGGCGGAGAGAAGCTGAGGGTCTGTGTCGCAGCTCCAGTTATCCCCGATCTTGTTCCCCCACACTGGCTTTCGCTGGAATCCGGGAGTCAGTTCTGTCCCCAAGGCGGGGGGACAGATAGTCATAACCAATGCCTAAGCAACCACTCACATCTTGTATGTTTAATAAAGTTGTGGCCAAAATTATGCCAAAAACCTTAAACAAAAATTATGTGTGATGTGTGAGTTATTGGGGTAGGGGTGTTTTGGGGGACCTCAGCACACAAAATGGAATAAACTGCCACATGAATCAAGCTTAGCTGGATACAACCCAGTGTGATTCTCAGCTGTCTCTCCTAACCATTAGCGCAACGGCCCTTGGTGATGGTTATTATGGGGTGTGTGCTTACCTGCTTACCCACCTGTGGGCACTGCTCTCAGGCAATGCACAGATAACCTCACAGGCAGATCCTTGTCTTTACCATGCACGAGAAGACACCAACGTCTGAGGAGCTGAATGCCCCAACTGTCTCAATTTCAAGGCATAGGGAGACACTTCAACCCAGACCTGCAGCAGGAAAGAGAAACAAAACCTTGCAGGCTCTCTTGTAATCACAAATAGTGATAGGGATGGCTGAGAGTCAAACTTTGGTAGGTAAATCCCCATACATCACAAGGAGTGCAATGAACAGAGGGAACATCCATTGACTGTTATTGTTGTTAAACGGGGATGTACCTAACAAGGGAATGATTGGTGAGCAGCCACGAGTGTCTTGCACTGAGAACAGCTTTCCTGATGCAGCTGTGAGGCGTGTGGAATACAAATCTAACAGGTGAGGGAAGAAACCAGAGCACACTCATGTGCACAGCGACATTTGCTGCGCAGCATGACCTGAGCACACTTCAAGGCCCTTTGCTATGTTGCTGCTGCTGCATGAATGTCAGCTATCCCCACTAGGGGTGGAAGAATCTGTCCTTTGTTCTTTAATTATTATATAATTAATAATTAATAATAGTAATAATAATAATAACAATAACAACACTTTTATTTTTATTTTTATTTCTATCCCGCTTTTTTCTCAGACCAGGACTCAAGGTGGCTTACATAAATGAAAACAACATACAAAAAACATATTAAAAACAATTGTTTAAAAGTGATTGAACTCTAAAAGAATTAACACGACGTAAAAACAAAGCTGTCGAGATACAGATAACAAAAACTGCACATTTTTCCCATATGTAAAGTCAGTTCTCCACATTCGCACATAAGTTTGCAAATTCCTTTAAAAAAAAACCCCTTAAAAAAACTAATGAAAAATTATTAGCATTGTAGTGTGGTTTTCTCCTAATCTACACATTTCTGTATATGCTTTCCCCCAACACAGTACAGTGGTACCTCGGGTTAAGTACTTAATTCGTTCCAGAGGTCCGTTCTTAACCAGAAACTGTTCTTAACCTGAAGCACCACTTTAGCTAATGGGGCCTCCTGCTGCTGCCATGCTACCGGAGCATGATTTCTGTTCTCATCCTTAACCTGAAGCACTATTTCTGGGCTAGCGGAGTCTGTAACCTGAAGTGTATGTAACCTGAAGCGTATGTAACCTGAGGTACCACTGTATGCACATTTTACATAACCCGCCCCCCAATTCCTACTGCGCCCCACTCAACCTCAGTGGGTTCCCAATATACCCTTGCATCTGCAGATCCATGTTTGGGTTCTCTGTTCTCTACGCACAAGAGTTCTCCAATACTCGGGTCCTTCTCCTCGGCATCAAAATGGTGGCAGTTTTGCTAGCCTGCACTAGATCTTGCCCATAGCTCATTTAACTCTTTCCTATTTGGACATGAAAAACAGCTTAGCATGAACCCATTAATTCATTTCTGTCCAGGACTCTCTTTTACAATGCTGAGCCGAAGAAGGAGCTTGCAGAGAGAAAGAGAGAGAGAGAGAGAGAGCGCAGTAATGAAAATTTACAATTGAAAAATCCTGGCTATTAGTTTGGTGAAGTGAGGAATTGATCATCAAGCTATTCACTTCTTAGTGCGGGACGTCCATTTAGCCACTTTAAATTATCATTCTGTAGGAGATCATTGCTCTTCAGGGAAAATAATTGATCAGTTAGAGGGAGATGCTAAACCTGAGCTGGGGATGCAGATCTCGGAACAGGTATTTCCTGCAGCCAAGAGCTTCTGACTTTGGAACAGGGTCAGAAAAATACATCATCATGTATTGCTGTCAATGTCACTGCGGTGCCGAGGAAGTCGGTCTTGTATGTGATAGCATCAAACAAGGGGTGGGGACTTTTTTGAGTTGACGGCCACATTTCTTCATGGGAAAGTGGTCAGAGGCCATACAGTAGCAGTGAGTGAGGCTAGCAATGGCAGTGGACAAACACATCTCATTTACACCAACACGCACCCATTTACACAGCCAAAACTCCCTTCCCCTTATATCTTGCTCCAACTTTTCTTCCTCCTCCTTTCTGTGTGCGAACGTGAACTTTTTCCTAGGTCTAATTCTTGTTTGGGGTGCAGGTTTTGGGGGGGGGCAGTATTCTGTAGGTGGAGGTTTGGCTAGTGATGGGGAAGAATTTGTTTTGGTTTGCTTTTAACAGTGGACCAACCTTATCTGGAAGGGACGCAGGTGGCACTGTGGGTTAAACCACAGAGCCTAGGACTTGCCAATCAGAAGGTTGGCGGTTCGAATCCCCGTGACAGGGTGAGCTTCCGTTGCTCGGTCCCTGCTCCTGCCAACCTAGCAGTTCGAAAGCAAATCAAAGTGCAAGTAGATAAATAGGTACCGCTGCGGCATGAAGGTAAACGGTGTTTCTGTGCGCTGCTTGGCTTAGTCATGCTGGCCACATGACCCGGAAGCTGTATGCCGGTTCCCTCAGCCAATAAAGCGAGATGAGCGCCGCAACCCCAGAGTCGGTCATGACTGGACCTAATGGTCAGGGGTCCCTTTACCTTTAACTTTATCTGATGCTGCCAAATTTGCTTGAGGATCGGAATACGACTCCCAGTTATACCCCACCTTTCCTCCAAGGTGCTCAAGGTGGTGCACAAACTACAGCTCGCATAATTCCTTGGGGAGCCATGGCTGTTTAAAGTGGTATCATAGTGCCTTAAATGTATGGTGTGAATTTGACCCGGGTTTAGGAAAGCGCCTCAATTCGGAGATCGTTGCTCCCCTGGTTGGGGAAGGGGAGGGCATTTTGAACAGAGTTAAGAAGGACTGGTCTGAGGGCCGGCTCTGCCATTAGACAGAATGAGGTGACCACCTCAGGTGGCAGATTAGTGGAGGGCAGCAGGGGCAGACCTCTATCTGTGCCCCTCCTGAACCCCTGACTATAGCCTTCTGTTGGAGGATATGGTCTGCAGGGCTTTTTTTCCTAGCTGGAACTCGCTGGAACTCAGTTCTGGCATCTTTCAGGTGGGTGCCACTGCCATTATAAAAGAACAAGGGAGGTGTACATGGTAAGTCCTGGCACCTCTTTTTCTACAAAACTTGCCCTATGCAGCCATAATGTGATGGCCTGGGATTCAGACTCGGAGGCTGAATCTGAGGAATCCCAGCCTGTACATGAGTCCCTGCCTCCAGAACCAGCTGAGCCGGGGCTGGGGCATGAGCCTGAAGGGTCCTCACCTGTGCTGGATCCTCAGGTGCAGGCACCAGCTGAATCTGCTCTGGCTCCTGAGGTGATGGAGGACCCATTGCCTGCAGGTGCTCCACTCTCAGCCCTGTCAGAGGAAGCTGAGGTTGCCTCTGGGTCCGGTAACCCTCCAGCCTCTCCTGAGCTGCAGAGGCTCAGGGCAGAGAGGCGGAGGGAACTAAGTTCCCGCAGGAGGAGTGCTCGCCTCCAGGCCAGGAGAGGCGAGTCACCTGTGGACCGGGGCCGCCCTATGCCTCAAAGGAGATAAAAGCCAGCCAGCCCCAGTCCCAAGTTGCGGGAGCAACATTGTTGGTAGCCGATTCCTGCCTGCACCCTGTCCTGCTCTTCTGCCAGAGTTCCTGACCTCACCCAACTCCCTGCCTTGGACCCCGCTTCAGCTTTGACGGACAGCCTCCATACCGCATCCTCGACCTCAGACTGGACTCTGACCACGCCGCACGGTAACTCCCCAGGACCAGCACACATAACTACCCTACGGCCCTCAGTTGTGTTGGAGGACACTATCCTTTTGCCATTGTTGATTTCAGATTTAAATGCCAGTCTATTCCTTTTCTGTGTGTTGAAAGTGAGCAGGAAGTCATTTCCCCCTTGCCTCAGGTGGCATAGTGTCTTGAGCTGGCCCTGGTTGGCCCAGTTTTCCGTTCTCACAATCTGGCAGCCCACTGCACATTATCAGCTCCCAACTTGTGCTTTTAGCTCTTCAGCCTCCA